GTATTTAGGGCCAAAAAAGACAACACATTTTAAAGTTTGATGAGAATATGTCAAAATGTTCTCCAAAACTACCATGCTATATGTTAAGATTACGTTTTAAACTGTTAATTGAATATGTAGATACTAAAGTAGTTCATATTTAGTTGGCTGCAGTATTCTGGAATAATGTTACTGTGTTATTGTAAAGATCTTGTAGAATGACTGTATGACACATTGTATACTTATACTTTGCCCAACAACCTCTTAGATAAATGTAGCTATGACATCTGTAATTTTTCATTTGTTATAAAAATAATCAATTTTTTTGTTTAGGCACATCATCTTCGCTCCAAGTAGCCACAACAAATATGCTGGAGAATCATTCCCTGGGATTTATGATGCCATGTTTGATATCGAAAATAGAGCAGACCCTCACTCGGCCTGGGCAGAAGTGAAGAAACATATTTCTATTGCAGCTTTCACGATTCAAGCAGCAGCAGGGACCCTGACAGATGTGTTATGAAGTTTTTGTCAAGTAGCTTCATCACTAGAAGTACTGCGGTGTTTGAGAGTCAAACCATTAGAGGGAGTCTCGTGCATATGGACTCACTGGTAGAGGCTGCTCAGAATCTGAAGACAAAATGTCTTTTTCTCTGGTGATTCAAGAGGCCAGGACATTCTAAAACCATGATTCTCAGATCATGTTTTGTATTTCCACTGTACTTATCTGTCATTTTTCTTTTTAAACTCTTGCATGCATATTCAGTGAAACTGAAACTAGAAGCAACCCAAATGTTCATGGACATCCATGTGATACACACACAGAACTGATAAACATCCAATATTATTGGCAGATCCTGCTGAGTAAAAAGTTGGCCAAGAATGAGCCCATAAGACCAAACTAATCTACAGTACTATTTATCTTTTTTTTTTAAGGCTGAGGCTTTGGAGATAAATGGAATTTTCCATACTTCCAGCTTAATGTTAGTTACACAGTGTATGCATTTACCAAATCTCATCAAGCTGTCATTGAAATGTCTACATTTTGTTGAAAATTATGCTGAAGTAAATTTGATTATAATGGGGAAACCCTACCAAAAGAAAAAAAAGTCAGGTAAAAAAACAGAAATAGCACATCATTGCTTGTAAAATGAACAAGGAATAAATGAAGTACAAATGGTACTTTGATAATTCAGTTCTATTGAATAAATATGTAAGGCTAACAAATGAGGAAATAACCATTCCAACTCGCTACCCTAATTCCATTAAGAAAAGTTCAGCAGTTCTGAAAAAAAAAAGTTCAAAAGTTCTGACAGAGTCTTGGGATTACAAATAATCACAATGCCATTGAAGTTTCATTCAGTAAGAAAAGATGCAGACTTGGCTCATCGGTAGGGCTCTTGTTTCATTTATTCAAGAGCCAAGTTTTTTCACTCAGTACTACACACACATGCATGGATATGTATGTGTATACAAGTACATATACACTCATATATTAAGTAAGCTTGATTACTTAACCACTTCGCCAAATAATTGAAAATAAAAGTTTAGAACAGTCCTTTCCCTTAACCTCAGGGAGCATCAACAGTGAGGGTGTGGACGGAATATATGAGCTGAGGATGGGATGCTAGGAAATGGTCTTCTGGACATTACTGGTGTACACATCAATGTGTAGCAAGTGTAGGTTATCTACACAGATCAAGCACAGAAGTACAGAACAGAGCATTCTGAGATTTCCTTCAATCATCTTTGGAGAAACCACAGACTCTAAGAGTTGTCAAATCACAAATGATGAGTTTTTAATAGACTATCAACCAAAGCCATCCAGGCAAAAATGACATATTTTATGAAATTATTTTCTAACAAAACATAACATTTGCTAACAGCGACCAGTTTCCCATGCAACGTGGCAGTATTTTAGAAAACCTATCCATTCGGCTGATAAACAATACAGAGTATGTCTGGACACAGACACAGGGAACAAATTCGTCTGAGTGTGCCATCTTTATTCCACAGCTTACTGGTTTCAACTCTGGAAGAATTTAACCAGTGACATGAATCCTTTTCCTTACCTGTAGTACAAAATAACATCCATCACAGAGTAGCCGTGAGCAGTTAAGTTTTCATGCACTGATGTTCTTAAAACAATGCCAGTCCATTACTGGTGTATGCTTGTATACCCAAATATACCAAATAGTGAGTGCAGTAGAAAATAGGTTTCCATTAGTTGGCCAAAACAGAAGCAGCCAAAGCAACATGCAAGCAGCAAAAAGACTAACAAATAAAACACATAAAACAGGAATAGACTTATCCAACATCTTTGCTGTTTATTTGGTGTTTCAAGCTTTGGGAGGGTTTCCTTTTTCATGTTTAATCATTAGACTGTAATTAGGAAAATCTTTTTTTAAAAGATAATTAAATAATTTAATTACTTGAATAGCATATCTGCTTAGTGGAAAAGGAGTAACAAATAAAGCTATTTTGATAAAAAAATCTTTAAGTGACCTAAAAATGTCTAAAGACCATAAATGAACTATTCTTGAAGAAATTTCATACATCTAAGAATGCCACAAAAACTCAAAAACAAAGCACAAAGTACATACAGAGAAACTTGGCAAGCTAGGTATTTTACGTATAATGCTACACGTCCAAGGGCACGGACATCTATTATTGATTAAAAGGCCCATCCAAGTGGAATGAAATGTAGTTCTAAGAACAAGAGACAAGCAATCAGGGAAAAACATGACTTTCTACTGACGAAAGAAATCAAACATATCAATAAAAACCTTAAAATACCAAGCTGAACTTAATAGCTCATATTTCAGAATAAAGCCATGGAGCAATACTGGATAAACTACTATAGATTAAAGTCAAATAATATAACCTGCAACAAAACCCCAGCAAAAAACAATCCTTACTTTTCAAACTTAAAAAGTAGAGTTTGAAAAAAAAAAACCCCAAAAACCTAAAACAAAACAATATATACTCAAGTATCTTTAAGAGTTTTTAAAGTTTACTATGGGTGTATACAACACACAATTTTCAGAGTAATCTTATTCATTCATTCATTCATTCATTCATTCATTCTCCGTGTTTGTGGGTGCTCATCACAGATGCCAGAAGAGGGCAACAGATCCACTGGAGTTGAAATTACAGAAGTTTTAAGCTACCCACAATGGGTGCTGGTAAGTGAACTCAGCTCCTCCTTAGTTGAAGTGCTCTTAACCACCGCACATTATTTCTCCAGTTCCCAGAGAATCATTTTAACAAAAGGGTTAGAAGCACTAACTCAGAACTCAAAATATCTGCAAGAATGTTTTAATAGTTCTCTTCATTCTGATGAACTGATAAGAAAATCAAACAAGATCTATGTAAAGACAAAATCCCTAGCACAAGATACAAATGACAAAGCTCAACCCGTGCACTGACTATAGTTCTGTAAATGTACAGTCAGCCTATAAACAGCTGATTTCAATTCATGTTTTAATTGTTTACATTACTGGCTTACATTATAAGACAGGCTTCAAAAATTTCCCTTTAAGAATTCCACTAAAAAGGTTAAAATTAACCATTCTATTTTAAATTATGTAAAGGTTAATGTCTTACTTCTGTAAACTGTTTATCATGTAAATTTTAATATGGGGAGATGACATACTAACCATATAGAACTCCTGTACTAGTGTTATAATCCTGGCAACCTAAAGTTATTTCAAAATAAGCAGTTAGAAAAGACAGGCCAATTTAGGATATTAATTCCTTTGCACAAGCAAAAGCTAGGCAAGAAAAATAACATTTAAGGCCCCCATGCTACAATGAGTTACAACATGTATAAAATATATGTAGGTTTGGCTGTTTTGATGCCTTAATAAAAATGCACGTATCTAACAGAAATAATGTCTTCGAGCTAACAAGCATTTCATTAACCTTTCTTAATAAATTGACAAAGTAAAACGTTTTTCCTTAAAAACACTGTCACTTTAACATACAGTTTAAGGTGATTTCATTTAATATTTATCTGAGTGACATACAGAGGTTCTGGAAGGAACTAACAATTAAATGGTCACAAATGTAACCACCGCACAATGTACTAAAAAATAAAGCAGTGCTGTGCAACCAGGTCTGAGGTTAGGAAACATCATCTGCTTCAACAGTTCTACCTCAACAGACAAAGCTACTACTCAAGGGAAAACAAAACAGTCTCAGAAAGTAAGTGATACAGTTAATATTTTGAATCAAACCAATTCAACCTCTTCCCTCAGGCAGAAAATAAGATCTCTTTTCTAAATGAATTCATGTCTAACTAAAAACTTAGAGACAATATTTGGATCCCAGTTTTTCAATGCCAAAAAATGTTAGCATGTCCTTGTATCAGCAGAGCTTATAGGCTAGATTTGTGTCTTTACACTTGTTGACAGAACTAGACAGAACGATGCATACAGTTGGCTGTGTCTAACGTGAACAACACACTTGCCTGGTGCCCAGAGTCCAGAAGAGGGACTTGTAACTGAAGCAGAGTCCCTTAAGTACGTTAAGTTGCCACATGGGTGCAGGGAATCAAACCCAACAGCCAGTGCTGTTAAGGGAGCTCTCTCCAGTGCCCACCCAGATTCTTTATTAACTAAGATAATATTTTGACTATATTCATACTTTCTTTGTAAGAATTCCATTAATACCAAAGTAACTTTCATTTTGATTTATACCAGTTTAAGGCACCAATTTACGAGAGTTCTAATGTTCACATAACAAGTTTTGCCTTGAGCTGTGCCTCAAAAAGTAACCTACTCATTAACAGCTGTAATTGGCATAAACATAAATGTCCTGTGTCATATACAATTAATAGAAATGAGGTATAACATATAATCAATATTGTACTGGTAAACTTGTCAACCTCTTCATGAAACCCTTAGAAAAATTCCAAAGAATCAAGCAGCTACATGAGCATAGAACACGCAGCTGTCCTACTTGTTCTGTACCACATACTTTGTTCTTGTCGTCTTGACCACAGCACACGACAGAAACAATCAAAGGAGCAAAGGTTTATTTTGGCTCACAGTTTCAGAGGATACAGTTTACAATGGCTGGGGAGGCAGCACTGAGTGCAACAGAGGTGGCTCCATGCCATGACAGCAGGGGTGTATAATCATTAAAGGCTCACTCTGAGAACCCAACCAGGCCCAACATCCCAAAAGTTCCACGCCTTCAAAACAGAGCTGTAAACTGGGGACTCAAAACAAGCTCTCAGAGGCGTTCAGACTCAAGCCTCACACACACCTTAACACATCTCAACAAAGCTACAGTCACAATTTTACAGACACAGTTTTCATCTGGGAGATAGAAATGATCTCTAAGAGATTTAGACTATAAATTTAATAAAATTTAGTCAAAACATCATAAAAACACCCTTAAATAATTAAAAAGATTTTCAAAACATTATTGCTTACTCTTATGAAATGATGAATTTTAACCAAATTGATGTTTCTATAAACTTAATTTTATTTCCTATAGTCTTAAATTATACTGCTTGACAAGAACTATAGATATCAGTGTAACTTTCTGAAATTAAAGGAACCGTAAACAAATTCTGTGAGCAGTACACAGAGACAGTGACTACACTGCTTCAGGGTTACACTACCGAAGTAACCGCCTCATAGGGGAAACAAAGAACTCCTTTCTTAAAGATTTTCAAGAATTACAGTAACAAAGTTCATGAAAAGGCCAATTAAACTTTTTAAATTACATCTTTCTACCGTTCTAAGGGTAACGGCGATATAAGGATAAAAAAAAAATCCTTTTATTTCTCTGCTTATAATAATTTTTACTAAGAAATACTACAATTATGCTTATGAGTTTTTTTCCTCCCTTTGTGTGTGGGGTAACAACTATGTTTTTACTATTGAGGAGACTTGAAGTCTTATTATGGAACTCAAAAGAAAGATAGAGGCACAAAAAAAAAAAATCAAGAGACTTTGGCTTTAAGGAAACTCATGATAACCCTAAAATGGCAGATTAAAAACAACAAAAAGGTTACAGCAGCAAGCTACTACTTCACCACACACATTGAGAACTCTAAATCAGACAAGAGTTTTCTGCTTCTCTTCCAATCAATCTGCATTTTCTTCTTTTTGTTTCTCCTGCTTCTTGGTTGTGGGCAGTTCAAGACTAGCCCACTGCATGGGCTCCGCCTTTCTCATAGTGATCTCAATCTTGGTTGCAGTCATAGTTACATAACTCCGTTTAACATCAATCACCTACAACACATCAAGAGTAAACATTAACTTGGTGCTTTTATTGGTCTTAGAAAAACACATCTTGTTTATTCTAATGTCAAAAATCAAGCCTCTGGAGCCATTTTTTATGCAATTTAAGTATCTTGATAGACACATTAAGGTTATATTCATCAGCTTTCCATGAGTATTCGTTCTAAATTTGTTTTTTTCATTATCAGGAAAAAAAATAAGTGGATTCATAATACTTACACCCCACAGTTTCACATTTTGATGAAATTCTTTCTCTCCTTCAAATACAATGTGAACATTTAACTGAAATAGATAAATTCTTATTATTTTGGTGGTAGATATTGAAAACCAGGCCTTAATACACACTAAGTATGTAGTAAAACACTGAACCACATCCAGTCAAGAGTTATAACTAATCAAAGCAGAGTGAAGGTTTGTGAAACCAAGCACCAGTTACAAAGACAAGACGGACATTACTTGAGCCATGAGAAAATGTCAATGGTGGCTCCCCAACCTCCTGCTTCCTTTAAGAAAATGATTAGGAGAATAAAAAAATTAACTGGAAGGTTCATACTGAAAAACCTGTATTTTGTGATTCTTCTAAGATACTACATTTTTTTTTTTTAGAAAACTTCAGAACACACTGTTCTGAAGAAGAAACTTTAGAAATACACAGAAACACTGATTTTACACTAAAAATTCTGTTTCTATAAAAGTCCTTAGCTTTCTGATCAGAGCTAAGAACTCTGAGAAAATATGAACAAATAATGTGTTAAGGGTAACTTTATTCAAAGTTAAAGACTCAAAGCTCAAAGACTCACCACTGTACTGTTTGCCTCCACCTGGCTGAGCTCTGGCAGTGAATTCTTAGCATACACTGAGATGGTAACTTCACCCCCAGTCTGATGCCAGTCATGTCTACATGGAACAACTTTCTTCCCCTGTAATGTAATAAAAACCTTGTCATCTTAAGATACAACACAACCTTTTCAAAAGAACTCGCTCAGCTAATAGAGGAAAATTCACCATTCACAATGAAGCACTTGATGCTTCGGGGTAACACATCTAAAGATTCCACCAAGAGGTTTAAACAATAAACTGTGATACAAATATCTTACAGCTTATGATGTGAGAACACCCGCATTTCTCCTTTAGGGCTATATGGCTACTGTTCACTCAGGAGACAGTTTCATAAGCCTTAATAAACTTTATTCCCGTCATACTCTATCGTCCATTAAGTTTTGTCACAGAATCATTCTTTGAAGACAGAAATGAGAAAGGAATTTGTTTGGTAAGATAAACAAAGACAACACAAGAACTTGAAAGTCTGAGAACCTTGAGTTTATTTTGTACAAATGAAGAGTTTTAGGTGGTGTTAAGGCTGGGGACTTGGCTCAGTTGGTACTATGCCTGCTTTGCAATCATGAGGGGCTGAGTTTGGAACATCAACATTCACATAAAAAAATTTATATATGATAGCATGATTCTGTAATCCTAGTGCCAGAAGGCTGATCACAAGATCCCACAGCTGGACTGATAAGCTCCAGGCTTAGAGAGAACCCATGTTTCATCGAATACGTTGGCGACATAAGAAGACATCAAACACAGAACCATCATACCATGCATGTATGAACACACACACAGTCAACTAATAACTATTCCTATGATTATTAAATTATCTTGTCCTTTCATATTAGCATGCAGAAAACGTCACGATTTACAGAAATTATCTATTGACTGCTAGTCTGGAAATGAGCATTATTCTCTAGTGCTTTACTACAGTATCAATTTCAAAAACAAATGAACAAATTATGACTTTTCTAAGTAAGAACATTTTAGCAAAAACAGTTCAGGAAACCCTGAAACACTTTTATTTAAAAGAAAGAAAAAATAGTTACATTTCACCAAGAAATAACATTCTTAACTTTTAAACAAAAAGTGAAGCATACAATTTTTTTTTTCAAAGTATTTAAGGTTTTGACATCAGAGATAATATACAAGCATACCTTATTTTCTGCTAATAAAATATTTCTGCAAGTTTTATGGTAAGTAATCTATGATTCAAAATGACAACAGTGACATACCAAAGATTGAACACATGTCTAGCCTGAAAGCTCATCCTTGAGTTAAAACGTAGAAGTTTTATGAACCAGAAAGGTTCCTCAAGTTACCAATGTCAGCATGGCACAAAAATGTTTGGATTAATCATGTTATTAAAATAATAAGATCTGGCATACAAACCTTTATGTAGTAACAAACTGGTTTTATTTTCTCAACTTAAAGAGCTTAAGGGAATTATGTTCATAGCCCTAAAATATTTTGAAAATAAACCTAGGAAATAGGAATCGATGCCCTGCAACTCTTTCCTCCTTGATAAATTTCCCCAGAGCAAGCAGAGGCATTCAATCCCACTGTGAACACTAGATAGAGGGACCGTATGTATGGTAGAATGATTTTGTGGGCAAAAAAAGAATTAGAGGCCTAACTATTGGTTTAGTAACATTAAATTAATGAAGTGCTTTTATGAGACAATTTTCAAAGTAGGAAAGGCTGTGAACCTAATTTTGTAGAATACGTTTTTAGATTTACTTTGTGTTTGTGTGAAGGCTTTCCTTGCATGTATGGTATTTAATAGTGAGTCTCTGGGTGATGGGATGGGAACTGAATCCCAATCCTTTGAGAGAACAAGTGCTCTCTATTCATGAAGCCAACTCTCTAGCCCCTGTGAAACTAATTTTAATAAGGCAAGCATTTTCCAATTTTAGTAGGTTTAAAGTATTTCTGAAAACTTACATACCTGCATCAATACACACAGGGTTATTTTGTTGGGGATTGAGATGAACTACTTTGTACATATGCCAATGCTTTACTTACCTTGTTAGAAAGCTAGTTTTATGCTATAAACACATGCTAATCTCAGATCTTTTTAAACATGGCTTGGATGATCACAGGTCAATATGTGAGCCTGAAAGGTGACTTACCGCATCTTTTTTAGTCCACACATGTTTCCCTGTTGTACAGCCCTCCTGGGCTAAGAATGTATTAAAATCTGAGGTTTTTCTTCTACAACAGCTCCAATATTTCATCCTTTAAATCAGACAATGGATTAAAGTTATCATTATAACAGATGTAATTAAGAAATAAATACTCCAACTTTAAATATCTTGCAAGTATTTATTAGTGATCAGTTAAAATGGATACATACTAGGAAAACTAATTATTTAAAAACCAGGGTGACATTTATTGTATTAACTTAGCTTTTGAATAAATCTATAATCACAAATTCCAAGTCTAGTTTCTCACTGAGAATGTACACCCTAATTCCTTCATGAAGCTACCAAAAGTGATATGAATGAATACTGCAATAGCCACACTTCAACAACCCACTAAAGACCATGGAACAAGGTAGAAACTAGTGCTTCCACACATGATGAACAATCTCAAAGAAGGGAAAACCACCACTACTAACTTGAGGAAAAATCCTGCACAGGTAACTAAAAAATTACAGATCTCCAGGCATCTGAAGCATTTAGAAACAGTAGAAGATTGTATCACAATATAGAGACAAACTCAAAATTGAGAGTTATGGAAAAGCATGGGTGACGGCGCTTTACTGCTCCAAGGCCAAAAATTCTAATGTCCTAAAAATGAATGACAGTCCTTTAAGAAAAGCAATTCAGGCTACTTGGTAGGACATGCCTGTAAGTGCTCTCTGCAGGAGGCTAAGGCCTGAGTATCTTGAGGTAGAGGCAATGCACACAACCAAAGTCTAAATAAGATCACACTGAAAAATTACAATGATTACTTAAAAATTATAACTCTATTTTCCTCCTGTACTTAATGAAGGCAACTGCCTCTGACCTTTTCTTAGGTTATTATAAGGATTAAATGGTAATGTAGGTAAAATTTTTCCAAAATCTGCATGGCAATGTTTAAAAATATAAAGGTTTAATATTCTGAATCACTACTATAAATTTTTATTAGGAATGCATAAATTACCCCTCATGGAAAATAGGTACTCCAGAATGATACACACAGACTTCGTCTAGACTCTGTAGACCCTGGTATGTCTAAAAAACAAAGACAGAGAGAAAAAATTAGCTGCTCATCTCACACTTGCATCTTACACTATCTGTAGTACTCGTTACCTAAAAGGCCTTCAGAAAATACCTAAATAACAGCAGCTACAAAAACACTGGTAAATTCATCAAGAAATGGAAAATGCCTCTCTTTTGAACATAAATAAACTATAGAATCCTGTAAAGAAAAAAAACAGAAAGGTAGCCAACTTACTAAGTAAAAGGCTTTAAGGCTTTCAGGCATGAGGTTACAATGAATTAGGTTCAAATATTTAAATTTACAGAAACGTGTTGGAATCAGGGGACTTACACTCTCCCCCAAACAGAGTATGATTTATGTGTTTAGTATACTCTGTGTGGGCATCACTAATATGGAAACTCTAAAAAGCAATTCTGGAAGTTTCAGGAAATGGTGATATCTTATCCTACAAATGTTAAAATGAGCTGCAGACCTATATAAACATCCATGTTTTGTCTGGAAGATCCGGGCCTCACTGCTGCTGTACATGATGGCTCTACAGATGAATTCACAAAAAGTTATGTTAATAAAACATGGATGTAGCTGGCAGTATGTTCTCTAATTTTATAATCATATTAACTAAAGTAGAGAAGACCAAGATTTTCTGTGTTTCTTTTCTGTAGGCACAAAGTACTAGGTGTTTATCACCTTAAGTACATAAATTCCAGTGTATTAGAATCTGAACTTATCATTACTGCCACCTAAATGTCTCTTTTCTTATCTTATCCATGACACCAAATGACCCAGTCCTCCATCTCTGAATCTGTACATCTATCCTCTCTACCTCTGAAGTTATCACAAAATCTGGTCAAACTCAAAAGATTAACCTGTTTAAATTCACTCAAGGACTAGCAAATGCTCCTTGAATGTCCTTTATTTTTAAAAAAAAATCATATTTTCCACCATACTCAGTGTTTCACATAAAGTACCTCTGCATGAGAAAATGTAGCTCAGAACTAGTACTTCTTAAATAAAGTAGAACACTGGCAATAAAGGAAAAAAAAAACAGGAAAACTTCCATTTCATGAAAACTAAAAGTCCCTTTGTTTATCAATGGTATCATCAGGCCAGTGGAAATCAAATGAAATACCTCTGACAAGAGACCTGGATCTAAAAGATATGAATAGTTCCTACAAGGCTGCTAGAGAAAGGATGACAAGAAAGGCTAGCGGAGAGATCACGGGCATGTGGTCAGAGAGGAAAGACCTGAGCAGTAGGAACATTAGCGGGCACGCAACCGTAACAACGCTGAGGTCAAGGAAACACAAAGTGAGGAAACTGTATGCTCTATCACAACAGCTGAACTATAAAACACTGATACGACAAAATGTGCCAATGTGGAGACAAGTGGATCCAATTCATCAGTACTGACAAGCATATAGATTATACAACCTTTGAAATCTCCCTATGTTTACGTATCTGCTGAAACTGAACACATACATATAATCCCCATTTCTAGTATGTCACACACTGAAGTGTTTAAGGTCAGTGTTATTAAAAAAAAATGGGAAGGAAAAATCAATTATCAATTGTAGCACATGCTCAACAATGACATTCACAAAGCACCAAAACCAGCAAGATTATGGTTATATTCCCTAAGACAAATCTAACAAACCCAAGGGAAAGAAGGACAAAGAGAGCAAGATGCGTGCTGACAGGGAATCGTGTGAAGAAGTTGAAGATACTGCTAGCTTAGTTTTGAAAGTTCTCAAGTTTAAATTTATATGTGAACAAGTTCTAACAAATTTTACTATTTCAATGAAATAGAGTAAATATTTCTTAAATCCTCTATAATCTAAAAATTTAATTTTTCACCACTTACTTCAACCCATATAAGGAAACAGTATTATGACATTCCCATTACTTTCTCTGTATTACTGCAATCAGGTTTATGAGATACACCTCCCTCCAACCATGGTTGGTACTTTTATTGAGCTGAATTTCCGCTTGTACTCTGCCACCTGTACTGCCTTTCTCACTCTCTACCAACGGCACCCAACTATGAACCCTGTGACTCAGTCTCTGTTGAGACTGGAGACTGGGGCAACGGTAGCACAAATATGAGGGCGTAACAAATTGCCTTGACTGGATTCAAGGCCCACTCCAGAAGATTCAATCCACACCTCAAACTATTAATGAGGCCAGAACCTGAGGCTGGACAGGTAGGCCATGTGCTCTGGGGGAAAACGACTACTTCTCTGCTAAATGAAAAACGCACGGAAAATACATATTGCTAACCATAGATCAGAGAAGCTTCTTGTGGTTGATGGTAACTAACAGAGAGACAATCTGACAGTGGGTAGACAATGAGAAACCTTGGAGCACTCAGCCATAAATGGGATGTCTGAATATTCAAGGCTCAAGAATCTACGAAGCCAGAAGTGGTGGATGACGCCAATGAAACAGCACGCTCCAGATACAACTTATGTACATATGAACAGAGACTGTGACAGCATGCACAAGACTTGGAAAAAAAGGGGGGACGGGATCAGAAAAAATTCCAGCACGGAGAAAGGAAATTGGGCACACCTAACCAAGAAGCAATTTGCAACTGGTACCTGGTGAGAAAAGGGGGGAAATCCAACCATGCTCCAGGACAGGCTTCATGCTCACGAGGAGCTGACCAACACAAAACAGATTCCAGTTTTTATATGTGTGCACTTTCAGTTATGATTCGGTGATTTATTTATTTCTTGAGAGAGAGAGAAAGAACATGAAGTTGGGTGGGTAGGAGGATTTGGAAGGGCTTGGGAGTATGAAAAGACTATCACCAAATTAAATTGAATGAAACATTTAAAAAAATAAAATTGAAAATGAAAAAAAAATTATCCCCTTTCACTTACTACTTCTATCTTATACATATGAGGTTATACTTCTGTTTCCATTCTACTTTTAGTAAGCAAGGGAATCTCAAACGTCATAGAAGGAAAACAAACCTGCTGACACCGCATCTTCACTCTCAACTGTAACTGGTCCGACAAGGATAAAGATACCACTTTTATTATTATTTCATTATTTTTATCAGCATGGGTGTTTTGCCCAATCATGTCTGTGCACCAAATGTGTGCCTGGAGCCCAGGGAGGACAAAAGGTGTAATGGATCCCTGACCTAGTGTTGCAGATGGTTGTGAACTGCCATACAGATGGTTAGAATCAGGCCTAGGCTCTATGCAGGAGCAGCCCGTGTTCTTATCGCTTCAGACACTTGTGCCCCCTATTTTAACCAACAGACTACTTAAACAGTGGACTCCAAAAAAGAAATTACTCACAGGAATATCATGCTGGAAGAGAAGGCCTAAATCCTGGGCCAGTCAAATAGAAAGGCCAGACAACGGTGAGTTTATGGTTGGCGGAACCAGACCTTGACTGGGACCTGGTGTAGGAAGTCCTTCTGTCTATGTGTAGCTTTTATTGATAAATGAATAAATCTGTTTCGGCCAGTGACTTAGCAGAATATGACAAGGCAGGAGTTCCAAGCAGACAGAGGAAGAAAGAGTAGGGGGAATCACGGAATCGCCATGTAGCCACCACAGGGGAAAGATGTGACCCGCCATCTGGAACCTTGCTAGTAGGCCACAACCCTCGTGGTAAAATATAAAATAATGGAAATGGGTTAATTCTAGATGTAAGAACTAACTAGCAATACGCTTAAGCTATTGGCCAAGCAGTACTGCAAATAATATGGTTTCTGAGTGATTATTTTGGGTGAGTGGCCAGAACAAACAATGGGCTGCTCCCAACAGGGACCACTTAGTTATGCACACCTCTAGGCCTCCATTTAAGTCATCTCTTACACAAAATGGACTGGTGGTGGGGGCTCCTGGATCTTTGTCCTTCTTCCCAGTGTGATCACATGTATTAAGAAGAAAGACTTTCCTGTTTTTCTCAGATTAATTTACCTATTGAAAAATTGGCTTATCAAAGATGGGTGTCTAAACTTGGCTTCTTGGGGCTTAGGCTGTGACCCTAAATTCACTAATTACCCATATTCTTGAAGGCACAAGTATTCAAAGTATACCATTAATTGTAGACACACCAGCTATGTGCCAGGCACTGTTCCAAGCATTCATCATAAAACGAAAAAGCAGACAAAGCCATGTTATCATAATCCTCACCATGAGACAGCAGTAGTTGGTAATGGAAGGAGCCAAGCTCAAAAGTGTTCCCGAGGAAAAAGCATGAGAGAGTATTCAGAAGACAGCAAAAGATCTCACGATGTTTAGCCATACCCCACATTTAGTCATTTCTTAGCAACCTCCTCTCCAGAACGACACTGCCTGGTCTTCTATAACAATATACAAGCTGGTTTCTCTTCTTCCATTTCCCTTTGTGACAGTGATCTCTTTACCTCTAAATTGGGCATGGTGATACACAATCATAATCCTGCACTCAGCTGAGGGACAGGAATGAAGTCTAACGCCAGGCTTGCCTCACCAAATAGAAAACACCTTCCCCAAAATGTAATGGCTTACCATCACGGTCTGAAGCAGCTCAAACCCTCATCCTGGTTGAGACCTTTCACCATCCTGAGTACTTCCTTACCCATGGCTTTCAATTATTGCCCAAGCCCTGGGACCTTGCATGCACTGAGCAGCACAGTTCTAAAGCCGCTCGACCTCTGCTGCTCCCTCTAGGGATGGTTCTACTCCCAGGTTTACAGTCCTCCTCCCCCCAATTCTGACTTAGTACCGCATTAGAAAGACCTTCACCAACAAATCTTATTTAAGTAGCCCCTGACTGGAACCTCTGTAGTGGCTCTGTTTATTAAATTTATTTCAGGTGTTTCTGAATTAATTATTCAATGGCCTAGTCTGTTCTCTTGCTCACATAAGAATATACTTACTTCTCAGGTTTTTGTGCGATACTATTATTTCTAGCCCCTGAACCAATGTCTAGCATATTATCAAGTGCTTAGTAATTGTCAATCAAATTAGATTTATTCCCATAATTCTACAAGATGTTCCTCTTAGAAAATCTCTACTGTATTTATAGTCCTAGTGTTCAACGAAGTGCCCAATATTTAATTAGCATCCAGGTGTTCGCTACCTTTAGAGTGATTCAGAACCCTCTGCTTCCATGTTAAAATTTTACTCCATAAATCCAAAGTTTATAATATATACCTTTGAACACCCTCCATTTTTACAAGAAGTCCCAATCTTAATTTCATCACTGTCTTCTTCTGCAATGGAAAAAAAAAGGTAACACAAAGTTTCATAACTATGTTCTTTTAAAACAGAGGAATAAAATCTAAAACTACAATATTAAAATAGAACCTCACAGTTGTATTAGTTTTAAAAAATAATCTTTCTATAAAACGAGTATGATTTAAAGAAAAGGAAATAGAGAAAAAGAAACCCACAGCCCAGCCGATCTGGTGCTCTACATTCCAGCACCTTTTGAAGGCCGAGGCAAGATAGCTATGAGTTCTAAGACACCCTTGATCACACAGCAACATCCAAGACAAGCTACCGGACAATTCTTCTCTCCAAACGAAAGAAACCCACAAAAAGCTGGACATCTATGTTTTGCGTATATGCCCCCAAATGATATATATAATGTGTTTTCATTCTATAATGCAGAGCTTATCCAATTTTAAAGCTCTTATACAGCAGAAATCACGGAAGGTATTTTCGCCCCTTCATAGTAGGCAGAGGTCAATGGATAAGAAAATAGATTTTATAGGAAGCACAAAACTCATTTCTGTTATTGAAGAAATTTAGTTGTTAAAAAAAATGAAGGGGTGCTAAGTTTGCACACGGACAAAATCGATGAACTGAATGCTCTTTCCTGGTGCCACCAGCATCTGGGAATGAAGTAAGCTCCTCCCTGCAGCGTGCTACACTTCCACACACTCAGTGCTCCACAGCTACCTCTTACACAGAAGACTGTGGAAAACAAAAACACAGACTTACCTTTCTTATCTTCTTCATTCCCTGATGACAGTTTAAGTTTATCAAGTGCTTGTTTTAGTGAAGCAGATATTTTTAATTCCAAGTTTGTCATTGGCTCATCTGGGCTGGAGAATTTTGAAGTTATATTATCATCAATAGACCAAAGTATTTCTTTGTACTTAATATTGACGACCTTAAAAATCTTCCATGAGTCATTAAATATTTGTTAAGTTATTCCTTAAAAAAGTATTTTATAAACAAATGTCATAATCTATCAACATTTTAACTTTTAATAAAATGATTCTTCTATTAAGAAATTAAGTTTCAAATATTAAAGACACTGCTAGCATTAAAAGACACTACTACACAGTGGAGCTATAGCGAGTAAAGACTAGCAATGTAAACTCTGAGCACAAATTCTTAAGCACTAAGTGAAAGCATACTTATCTATATTAGTAGAGTCAATTAACTTTATGTTGAGAGATGACATACAGACTTCCAAATTTAGATACAATTTTATGACAGTGTAAATCACAACCATCTTCTAATATTTCATAATGGTTAAGATTTTTATATATAATTTCCAAGTCTGACAATAAGTGAATATTAAGACTATTAATAAATACAGCAATAAAATATCATAGGTAATTAGCTCTGCATTCACAGTGACAAGCTGGGAAACATTAATAAAGTACACTGAAACCATTTAACTCATGTATCATATGGATTTAAATAAAACGTTTAAAAGATGGACAGCTACCTCATTGATTAGGAGAACATAGTATTCTTTCAAAGGATTGGGATCAAGAGTTCTAACTCTGGTTCCAGGAGAATCAGATGTTCTCCATGGGTATCAGGAATGGAAGTGCTCAGATACATATGCAGCCAAAACATACCCATACAGATTTAAAAGAAAAAAATTATACATTTAATTTTTTTCATAGCCTCTTAAGTAGAACTTATAAATCTGAAGTCCATCATTTAAAAAATGGTATTAAGTCATACTATTATTATATTCTAGGAAGCTCTACTGTGATGTAACAGATTAAAACATAAACTATAGTGTAAAAGAATTCTTATCTTTTTCCAGTACTTTTTTTAATGGCATAGGCTTATGTGTGACAGTCTACTAAGATTGAATTAATAATGCAGCTGGAATAAAAGCATTCTGATCTTGAACTATAGCCAATACTTCAAAATATTAATGAGCAAACAAACATCAGAAATTAGAATTCTTATCTTGTGCTATATATGTAAGTCTATAAATTTATTTAAGTATAATAAGGAAAAAGGAACACTGTAAATTTATAGTGTGAATAAAAGCTTCAATTGATTTCAATGATTTCTAGGCTTGTATTGAAAAAGAACTCATCTGAGAGACACATCTGGAGCCCAAATCCTGAGTTTACATTTTGTAGTTCAAGTTCTAAAACAACCACTATTTAAGTGTAGGTTGAGGACCTTGTGCTACACAAGTAAACCCATTAATATGCTTCAGAATATAGTCTTGTTTGAACAGAAGGAGATTATGAACAATCTAATTCTACTTCAAACTGAGGCAAAAGCCATTTTTAAAGTATTTTGACAAGCAGGCTATCACAAACCAAACAGAAAACTCTCCAAGTACCAAGAGAGTAAGTAATTCATATTCAACCTGAAAGTAATGGTAAGTGGCCTTTACTGTAGGCCTCTGTGGCTCTTCAGTTTAAATTAACTGTATAAATGGACAATTCTTTTACTGAATTCCACCATGTCACATGAGAAATATACACCAGAAAATGAAGACGTACAACTTCCCAATTGAAGGCATGCCCTCAAAAATGAAAGGGTTATTGTCAAAAGAAAAAACACATACAGTGGCCTCATTAGAAATGCCTTTATATACAATGTTAAAAGCAATTACCACTGGTAAACACCATTATCATAGTCTTACAAATATAAGCAGCTGTATAGAGTATACCTTGGCCTTTTTATTGCTTCTACTGGTTTAGGGGCTTGAATAATGTGTTCTTGAAATTTGGGTTTCAATTCAGACAGCTCTTTCTTCTCTGTAGTCTTGACTTCAGGCTTGACTGGTTCAGGTGGCTTCTCACTGTTATGCCTACCTTTCGTACATCCCTGTCAGTAAAAGACACAAACCAACAGTCATGCTTTCACCTACTTTATGTATTACGCATGTTTGTATTCTGGGTGCTTTATGAAGCACATTATGTATATATGCCAGAGCCTATTCAAAAAGGCCACAGGCTGCAGTCTCAGTTGGTAGAGTGCTTGTCTAGCATGTAGCTCTGAGTGTGACCTCCAATACCACTAAGCCTGGCATAGTTTCAGCTGTAATCTCAGCATTTGGATTTGAAAGCTGGAAGTTCAGCAGCTCAAGGTCATCCTCACTTATACTTGGGCTTTGTGAGACCCTGCCTTAAAACAAAACTCTCAATCTAAGTTTCAACTTTCCTATTAAACTGAAATGTCTTAGCTTGAATAATCTTTTACAACTCATTTTTCTCATCTATAATATAGAAACAGCTTTCTTTCTTGGTGCCATATAAAACAATGAACCATCTCATTGGTTTCCCGATAAATAAAATTTACTGCCTCTAACTTCCTTCCTTCTTTTCAGGACTACCAAAATCAAGAATGTAAAATATATTTATGTATATATGGTATGCATGGTTTGTACTTAACATAATAAAATCCTATTCTCCAAGGCAAACAAAGGATTTTTAGAGGCTATGGAAGAGATGAATCCCCTTTGTAAAGTTTGGCATGACCTGATAGCTGAGTTTGGCGTGACCTGATAGCTGAGTTTGGCGT